ATTACGTCATGCAAATTCATGTTCGAGCCAAGTGCAGCTGAGGCGGAAGAGATATTTCGCCATTTGATTTGCTTTAGGTAGGTCCTATCCAATACGCGAAGTTATTATGAATTACTTTTCGTCGATAGGGATGTCAAAAGATCTCCTTTCTAAGTTTTTCATAGCATTGGAAAGACTAACAATTAAGTTATATTTTTTTATGATTTCGCTATTGATTAAAAGTATGAAGTTTTCACCGTCGATTAGTCCCATTCTGTGTGCGCCATGCATTCTACTCCCTTCTTCTGGGCGGTATCGTGGCTTTGAATGGCGATGTGACCGTGGTAGGCATGATTTGCGGGGCAAGCCGATTTACGAGTCAGTATTTTTATTCTCCCGGACGAATCTGGTACCAGTTTACCGTCCCCAAAAGGTAGAAAGCTCTCCAGGAAAGGTCAATAGGTCATTCTGGCCCTTCGCAATAAGGCGCATATGAATGGGCGCAGCGGGGTGCTGAGCTCAAATCTGCTTTCGTAATTTAGAGACCATTCTCGAAGGAAGTTACAAAGGAATATCCTCTCTGTGGAACTTTCTCTCATCTCCTGTCTTCTCCACGAGAAAGTTTGGAGAAGTCCGTGTCGCAGGTGGCTGGTGGTTTAGTGGATAGGCAAGCTGGTTCATAGTCAAGAGGTGGAAATTCCGAGTCCGATACAAGTGTGTTGCTTCTGCTTTTGTCGAAGTCTTCGTAATGGAGTTGGAGAGGAGTGATCCAGTTCAGTTAATCTGTCGATTGCAGTCTACCGTACAACGGGGGTGGTATCACGATTGGCAGGTGACTCTGGTGTGTCATCGTCCACGGGACATTTTTAAGATCAGGGCTCAGGGCTACTCAGTTGCTCCGAGAACGCATTGCGCAAGTGCACATAGTGTAATTTTTCTGTCAAGAAAGCGTCATGTATCATCTCAGTTTTCCCTTTCACTTCTACTCGGCACCTGAGTATCGATTATGAAATAATTTCTTTAGGAATTTCTCATAACCTTGCAGGACCACTAAATAGTGTAATACTAATGCGTTCTCGTTATCACTCGTCAGCTAGTATTAAGTTACTCAGCAAATCGCTGTGAAATTCAATCCCTCTGGACGTATGTCTAGAAGCCCACCTTTGTTTGGCCCACCGAACAAGTTAATGTCATCTTGTGCCTTGAGAACTGATTCACTTTACTTTATGGTCTTCTTTCACCTACGTTTCACTGTAACACCATACATTGATTTTTTTCTAGAGCGTAATTTCAGATTCTCTGGCAAGGTCAATTTCATCGGTCATTGAGGTTGATCGGACTCCCAACACAAGTATCGCATTCGTTCTGGATTAAAATGTCTGGCATTTCTTCTGCGAGCGCTAAGACGCTCGGAACTACCAGTTTCACTGTGATCTTGTGTCAGACCCTCGAAACTAATCACACATCTGTTTGGCGCTCTATAGGTAGCAAAACAGGTTGGGCGTGGGTCGTGTGCCTGTAGCATGGCCAGGCTTTCGGCCTTGATGAAATTGATATTTCAATATTGAAGTTTCTCATATCCTCCATAATCTGCGATCTGAATTTTAAAAGCACGGAAGGCTATATAGTCTGGGGATAGACCAACTGCTTTTTTTGGCTTCCTGGACATTTCGGTTCTTGGTGACTTCTAGCCGCCGCAGCCCTTGTCGCATCCATTTGGTGTGGTAAGGCCTACTGCTTGGATTAGAGCACTTCTGCGGGATAACCTCCCCTTTCACTAGACCTTCTATATCTACCATTTCTTAAGGATGTTGTGCCGTGTTAGCGGGAGTCCTGTTACCGTCGATCGACGGGAAGTGAACAGTGTGCAATTTTCGCGTTTCATTTTGAATATGCAGATTCGTTTTTGCGTCCATTTTATCCGAAAATTCTGATTATAGCACTAAATCAGATGAGCGATGTGCATGACTTCGGGAGGTCAGGTCAGCCGATTGTAGAAGTCAATTTTTTCGTGTCGCAGAACGGTGTCGGGTACAATTTACCATCCGCGAGGGCGGAAGGCTTGTTTGGCTAGTGCGAGAGCCATCCGGGATTTGACCCCGAGACGCGCGTACGTGCCATTTGCCATTACCCCGTTCGCCTGGTTGTCGAGCCGCGGGCATGTGAGTGATGGTCTTGTCAAATGGTTAAGTTTTCTCCTGAGACAACACTATGACCAATTCTTTTCGAATTTCGATTAGGAGGGCGCCTGCATCGGTAATAAAAAACTGAAATTTTAGCTCTGTTTTGACTTCTTCATTCCTTCTCGCGTTTGCTCCGCTTTTCTTCTTATGTATAATACCATTACTCGTGCTCTCTTGAAACTTGATTTAGCATTAGCTGCACCGCTGTTTTCATTTTTCCTGGAAACGCTCTTATAAACTGCACGTCGCAATTAAAGTGGTCTTTAATGGCAAATAGATGTTCTATCATGTACACTGTGAACGCCTCCTTTCGTTTTCGTCCTTCATTTCCACCGCTCTTCACCACTTTCAACTGTGCTGAAATTTCCAGCAAACATTTGTTTGGGGTGGGAGGGCGGGGGGGGGGGCGGAAAGTAACGACAGAAACATACAAATTGGAGAAGACAAATGGCACGATAAATCGATAAGACCTACAGGGTGAATACGCTCAGCAGGGACGAATATTTTACCCCTCAACAGGCGCTGCGTGGCGTTTTTGCAACCTGTGGCACCGTTGTAGCGCCTGACCAAGGTACCCAAACGCCTAACGCGACCGCTCGCCCACAAACGCTTGCCTCGCCGTGTCGATACTGGTACTATTACTGTTCGTTCACGAAGTACAACTGGAAGGAAGTGGCTGCGGTGCTGCGTGGTACATGAATACAGTCGTATTTATCGGAGCCGTGGTTGGCGCAGTGTTACCGGAAAACTCGTCCGAAATTGCTTTCTCTCGGCCGTATACCTGTCCAGTGTTGTGTAAAGCAAATCAAGAGGCTTTTTTCGCTGGTTTTTGACGGTTCAACTCCGCTTTCTTGTCATTTTCCCCACTGTATAGCACCCCTGTTTAAGACCTAGTACCCATATTAATTATCGTTTCTTATTCCCTTAGGACAACCTTCAATCCTGCTAGAGTCTCCGATGTAGAATACAGAATGCTTGGCTTATATTGATCAGTTGTAAGTCCTTATTCAGTGACTTTTTTGTAGAGGTCCTTTTGTTGTGGCGTCCAAGACGTAACCTAATCTCACTTTCTCATAAGCTGATTTTTGGGAGGTGTGAAATTAATGGTATATGGACTCGCCATCCCGCGCGGTCAGGGGATCGAATCTTGGGATGAGCTACCGCTAAGAACGAACCGGACCTTCTCTCCCCCTGCGGTCGATAAGTTGACACGACTTGTCGAGAAAAGGCAAAAAGAAAAATGGAATCGTACATCTGTTGGCTGGATGGAATTGGAGTGCGCGACCCAAGAAAGAAAGAATTCATTGGCAAAATGTTTTTATTTTTTCGAACCCCTTATTCTGTTTCGTATTCTGTGCTCAGAAACATCACCTATAAACCGCACCTGTCACTACTCACGTTTGATTGTTTACTCCGTAGTAAGTTATGTGTTCTCTTGACATGTTGTTGTGCAAGTAATCGTTTTATAATTCTTGAAGGGCAGTGTGCCACCTGACCGCTCTACGTCAAAGAAAATAGTGTCAACAGAACCCGCGTTGTCCATTGTTGAAACCTGGGTACAACATCAATTCGTGTTTTTTTTCTCTTTCTTGCCAGAAAATGTGATAATTATGACCCATCAAGTAGATACATGTTTAGATCAAATTTTGGACTTTTTCCTTTTTCCAGAGGCCCTAGACTCCACTGATGTTGCGGAGCATTAGCTCATGGCCTGCTTCAATTTCAGTTAGTAAGCGAATTCGGTTACGCCACATACTAGCTGGAGGTGAAAAGGTTCTGAGTTAATGCCCGTTGCATCTCCGGCCTTTGAAGAAGGTGAAAAAGTTGGAGTCAGGCCAAATAAAGATTACGACTTACAACTTTTTTTAAGTATACCATTGATCTTCACACCGGATCACAGATTGACTGAGCAGATCGCACTAGATACTACTGCAAGCCACCCTGGCAGTCACGCTAACTTTTATGTCTTGTGGCGGACCCTGCGACGGCGCGGGACTAACGCTAGGGAGAAGAAAATGAAGAAGAAGAAGAAGATACCATTTCAATTTTCGCGTTTTTCATACCAAATCGGTCACTTTGCAAACAAATTCGCACGCTTTTTAATTCAAATCGGACACTTTTCATTGTAATTGCTTACCTTTCAAATCGAGTCGGACTTTTTTCAAACTATATCGAAATTTCCAATCTTCAAACCGAACAGTTGACTGAGCAGATCACACTAGATACTAGTGCAGGCCACACCCTGACAGTCACGCCAACGTTTGTGTTTTGTGGCGAGATTTTGGTCCTTTTAGAAACTTTCGCATTGCGCCATGAGAAGCTTCATCCCACTTGCAAAGATTAGGCCACCTTTGCAAAGTGCCCCAGTTCGACAGACAAGAATATCGATTCACTCGGACGAGCGATACTGAGAAATGCGAGTTGAGACTGTTCCTGTTAATCTGGGGCATTTTATAAAAGTGGGAGGGGCTTCTACAGGAAGGCGGGGTTCTCACTTGGCTCCGGGATGCCCGTGAGAGCCAAAAGTTCGAAAAGGATCGAAACAACATGGTGCAAAAGTGGGCGTAGCTTTCGGAGCGTGACTTGCAGTGGTGTCTTCTTGATCTGGGTAATCAGCTAATGGGTGGAAGAATGTGTCCGATTTAGTTCGAAAGTGTCCGATTTGAATTTGGAAAGTGTCTGATTTATATCAAAAATGGTCTAAGCTAAGGAAACCCTGCGTCAATCGATTCCGTCCTCGCTCCCCGCAATTTGGTGCAAATTCCTCCCAGTTTTTCTGTGCTTACGATCCTTTATTTACCGAGTGTGTTTTCAGTCCTTTTGAAGAAGGCGGACTCAATGGGCGCGAATAGTGAGTCATCGTCACGAGATTCTGAAGAACGCAGTTACGCACACGATGATCACTATGAGGAGCCTCATCTTCGAAGCCGGCAAACTCGTAAATCTCCTTCCAGAGCGCGTACTACTTCAGGTAATTGTCATACAATTTCTCCTGTTCTCTTTCTACATTGACTATTCTAAAAATATTACTTGAAGATTCTGAAAGTAAAATAAACGGGAATGCCGGAAGTTCCAGTAAAGCAAAGCCTCGGTCACCATCACGAACTCCCAAATTAGGTGTCGATTACACGAAAGAAGTGAGTTTTGTTAGACACTCGAGGTTTCTATCGTTTTTGATGGTTTCTTTTGATAATCGATATATTTTTTTCAGCAAGCTGACCTCGTTGAGCGTATACGGCATTGTAAAGACTACTACGAAATCTTAAATGTTAGTGTACATTGTCTTACTTTTTTCCTTCTCATAGTTTTCACCATTTACCGCCTAACTGCTCAGAAATCGAGCCAGTTTTCGATGAAAACTTTTCATATGTAGACCCTGCTTAAATTTTGTTGCTAGACATGGTTAGAGGCCTTTGAGCGCGAACACTGCATCAGTTCAGCGCGCAAATGCTTGACACTAGTACCCGTAGCCCATGGTCGGGCGTGAAGTCGAGGATCAATAACGGAGAGAAAGCAGAACGGGTCAGGGGGCCCTGCGGTGGAGTGCCTATTTTTTTCTGCGTCGTGTATCTTACGTGCCTAGCACAACGGTTCGGGTCACCAACTCATGGGTGAAAAAACATGATGGAGCCTTGCTGGTGGGCATGCGTTACTCTGCGTTCATATTTGCGACATTGCGTCACACGTTTGCGGGCGGCGCCACCGTAGGACGTAATAGATATCGATTAGTGAACTGGCGCCGCCTCTACCATCGTCCACCACCGTCCAGGAGTCAAGAGTATGGGGAGGTAGGAAGGTAGTAGACAGCTGGATTAGACGTCGTGAAATTGCGGCGTGTGCAGACGCACCGTACAACTGCATACCGCAGTCTCCCAACGCCTAATCCTAATCCTACCTTCCTACTTCTCCATAGTCTCCACTCCCAGACGCTGGTGAGCGCTGGAGTTTGCTAGGAGCGGTAGATGCTAGTGGTCGCTGGTGGACGCTGTCATAGTATAGGAAGCTCAGCCCTTAGATTGGTGCAGACTTAACAGGATGTGAATGTTGCAAACAATGGTTCATGGGAAGCCAAACTTTCAGTATTTTCAGACGAATCGAAAACGAATTGTGGCCTCAACTTCGGCAGTAAGGGGTAAATAGTGCCAAGAACTGCAGGGTGACAAACAGGACTAATTACGCATTGATCTATTTCCGCAATTCTGCAAGTCTTCAAACTGATCCGTACTCAATCTATTCCACTTTGCATTCTACATCCCTTTTTAGTTCGTCAATGGTTCAGTGATAAGTGACGGGGAGCCGTGCCGACAGTAGTACAAAGGTAAAAGAGTATAAAATGATCCCTTCGAAGGGATTATGACAAAGACCCTTAGACACTTAATGACCAGCATAGGTACCTTGCGCTGCGCTCCATAGGCGAATAAAACAGTCGTGGGATTACGGTAATCGCCAGTGATGTGCGATTACACGGCTACCCTTCGTGTATTTACGTAACATCGCGCTGAAACTCGTGAATGGTGATACCACTGGTAGCCAGTGTAATTACGTACCGCATGAGACCACCGTAACCAGCACGGTATTATTCGTAGTGAAACATAGTTAAGGTGTCACATTGGAAGTTAACCGTTGCACCTCATTCCTTCGAGGCTTTCAAAACAATCAAGTATGAAGTGCCCATTTGTTGCCTCAAATGCTATCTACCATATGCCTCGTCTCGAAATTATTACACCTGTATCTGTTCCATAACTCGAAATCAAGCTAGCTTGA